CCTAATTTGTGGGCTCTGGTCCTGGTGGGGAGGATGGTGCTGGGTTTGGGGGGGATAGCACAGATCCCTTTGGCGGCCCCTCACCGCGACCCCCTCTCTTCTCCCCTCTCCCCAGCGTTTAGAAGAGGACAGAGCTGTGGGAACGATTAATCAAGTGGCTAATAAAGAAGTATAAATCCCCCGAGGAGCGTTGTGGTGCTGCTGCCGAGGAGCTGGCTCTGAGACAGCCACCGGGAGGGACGCGCCAGCCCCAGCCCTCCTCTCCTCTCCTTTCCTCGCCTCTCCTCTCCCCGAGCTGCTGCCACACTTGGTTCATTCCAGCTGCAGAAGCTCAGAGCCTTCCATGCGGTGGGATTTTTTTTTTTGCCTGGGCTGAAAAAATTAAGGAGAAAAAAAAAAAAAAAAGAAATCGCGAGCCTGACCTGCTTTTTTTTTTTTTTTTTTTCCCCCTCCACCCCCCCAACCTCTTTCCTTTCTCCTCTTCATCCAGCCGAGCCGAGGACTATCCCAATCGCCAAGGGGAAGGAAAAGGGGGGAAAACCCGGCAGCAAGAACCACCAACCCCCCAGCAGCACGCCCCATTCCTGCTGCCCTTTGACATGCAACCTTCCTGGGGATGGGAGCAGCCGGGATGCAGCTGCAGCTTCGGGAGGCACTGGGGGAAACTGGGAATCGTGGCTCTGATGCCGGTGGAGGTGAGCGCCTGGAGCCGGGTGCTGCTGCTCTCCGTGGGGCTCCTGGCTGGATCCGTGACGGGTAAGTGGCCACGGAGAAACCCGGCAACTTCGGGAGCTGGTTTTTACCCCCCCCCCCGGCTCCTTGAATGAAAGGAGCGCTGTTTTGGGGGCACGGAGGGGGGGCTGGGGTGTGTGGCACTGGGTGCACACACTGCTGTGTCGGCACATGCTTCCCTGGCGCGTTCAGCGCCGAGGATATTTTCCTCAGCCCTTTGGACGATGTGGTCCCCTCGAGCATCCTCCGGGATTGGGGCGATGGGGCGATCAAAGGTGGCTTTGTGCGGTCTCGTCGCCCATCTCCCCGGTGGGTCGCGTTCGGGCACAGTTGCTGTGTGTGATGGGCACGATGACTGTGAGAAATGCCAGCACGGTTTTCCCCCCTCCGTCTTTCCCTCGCATCTTAATTCAGTATTTCCCTACCCTGATAAAATAGATTTTTGGATGCCTTGCGTATGAAGATGGAAGCACTTTCCTCTTCTTCCTCCTGCCTTCCGAGTTGAATATCCCTTGCAGAGGAGCTTTTTGGCCTCGGCACGGTGGTTTTTAGGAAACAAGCACCTACTGACTGGAAGGAGAGCAGGAGAAGACTCGGATTCGGGGGCAGTTTGCTGCCGTCTCCCATCCCCTGTAGCAAAAGCGTGTGCAAGGGCTGAAGTTTTATTTCGGGTGTAAACAGCAAATATTTAGGGACTGTCCTTCTGGGTGTGTAGGAGGGGGAAGAGTGGGAGAGCCGAGTGTTTGGCAGCGCCTTCTCTCCACGCTGTGCAGTGCCCCGATTTTCCAAGAGTTTCCAAGGAACGTTGTCCCTTGTCTGCTGTATCCGAGGCTGGAGGAATGTGGGGCTGGTGGTGATGGGTACGAAAGCTCCCCGGGTTTTGAGGGGGGTGTTTTTTTGGGGGGGGGAAACTTTGTGTGTGGAGTGCAACACTGATTTTATTATGTAAGGCAGATCTCCTTCGAGGGGGATGGAGAACGAGGATTAACTGCTCCTCCCGAGCCCTCTTGCAGTGGAGCTGAACAGTTTTGCTGACTGGAAGCGTGTTAGGAAAGGGTTATAAACCCACCCAAACAACCTGCAAGTCCTTATTAAGGGTGAATATTTATCGTGGTGAATATTTTTCCTGTCTCCAGCACGAATCTGTGCACAGAGGAAAAGCATTCCAGCAGCTTCTGCTGTGCTTTTCTCACAAGAGTACACTGATGTGGAGATACCTCAGTTCCTGATTGACTCTCTTAGGGGTTTAGAGCTTCCTTTCTTCTTCTGAGCTGTCTGGAGCTTATTCAGGCTGGGTCTTCCACTCTGTACCTTGCAGAGGATGTAATCCTTTCTTCTCAGGCCCCTGGTCCCTTCTCTGTGCGTTTGGAGCCCTCTGTTCTGGATCCTTCACCCAGAGGTTGATGCTCTGTGTTGTTTTCTTTGTGAGCAGAAGATCTGCAAGACCTTTTTAGAGCTCAGATGTTTTTTTTCCTGCATCAGAGCCAGAGGCACTGATCAATAGCTCTTCCTTTCCAATTCTGGCATCCCAGCAATGATCTTTTTGCCTGAGCAAGATGCCAACTTTGCAATCAGTGGCTCGGTGCTGGATGTACCCGGAGTGAAGGCACCCCCCCTTTGCAGGTCTCTGGTGGGTTTTGGGGTGTAATCACTGCAAATCGGTTCAGTCTGGGCTGGGACTTCCAGCACCTTTGCTGAGCAAACCCTGGACCTCTGGAGAACAAAGTTCCAAGAGGCTCCATGTCCAACCTCTCCCGTTGCCCGGGGTTGTGTGGGAAGCAATAACCGGGAGTTCCATAGTGTGGCAGCAGAGCTGTGTGTGTACAACTGTCAATTAGTACTTCTGGCCGTCTTAAAAATAAAAAAGGGGAAGAAATCCTGCTCTCCCATCACATCAGCTGTGCCATGGGGGCACGTCCTGCTGCCCAAAAACGTCCTACAAAGCCTGTGCTTCCCTCAGGGGCTGCTGTGCCAAGGGGGGATAACGGAGCTGTTTGGGATAACGAGCTGGAGGGAATGTGGTGCCTGGGATTGGGAATTCATGGGGTCTGTGGGTGCTGGGGGCAGAGGAGGTGGGCTGTGTGGTTCCCCTCTCAGTTTGAGGGGTGCAGTGATGGTCTCACACTGGTGGGATGTGCACAGGGATTTACCTTTGCCTGAGAGTCGCTGGTGATCCGTGTGTGGCCTCTCGGAAATGAAACACGTGTGATAATCCCGAAATTCCATTTATTGCCTGGCAGTCAGGTAGGCACAGGAGTGCTTTCTGTCCCTGCAGGGTGGTTAGCAGTGCATCAGCAGCAGGAGGTGCATTTGGGGAGTGTGTTTTCTGTGTGTGTGTGTGGATGGACACGGATCAGATGTCTTTGGAAGGCCTGTTATAAAAGGGGCTCGATCCCTTTATTTACACACCCTGCCTTGTGCTGGGTTAAGGAAGGGTGCACCAGCTTGAAACATCATCTCCTCAGTTTAAATCCACTGCAGTTCTCCTTTTTCTTGATGGAAAACAGTTTTTGGCAGGCTCCTGGTGTGAGGAGTGGGGGAGCAGGAGGCTGGTCACGAGTTTTGGGTTGGCTCTGAGATGAGCTCAGGCAGGGGGGTTTGGTTGCAGAGATTTAACCTGCACTGATAATTCAGTGAGGGACCATAGTACAGGGTCACCTGAGGGACCACGAGGGGTTAAATAACATTCCCTGTGGTTTTAATGATGTGGGACCAGTGGGATAAATGGGAGCAGGGAGTTCAATAGGAGGTGGAGTTGGTAAATGTGATGGGTTTATATCAAACTTCAGTTAAAGACCTGAGCTGGCACCAGAGTTGGGGTCTGTCCAGAGTCACATCATGAACCCTGAATGGGATACAGTAAAACCAGAATTCCTGTTTAAATCAACAGGCTTGTTGGCTGTTCCTTTGCCATAGTTACAGCCATGTGTAAAGCTGCTCATACTGTGGTTCCCAGGGAGGCATCCAGTGAAAATGATGTTCCCTCTCCCTTTAAGGATGGCAATTGGTGATTGTAATTCTCCTCCTTGATGGTCTGTTGTGGCTTGTGGAAGGTGCTGGTGTGTGGTTGTGCTGCAGAGCCACAGAGGTGGGGCACAGGGACATCAGAGAGCACGTGGGCATCAATCCTGGTTGGGAGTCAGGAATTTTACTCCAAAAGTCCAGTAACTAAGACATGATCCTGCTTGGGTTGTTGCTCAGAGAGGGGAATGAAGTCTCGTGGCTGTTTGTCAGAAAACAGGAGCTTGTGAGGGAGCAGGAGCTCTGGGAGCAGGGGAAGCTCAGACCAGCTCTGCCCAGGCACTGTTACTGCAGGGCTGAGGAGCATTCCTGAGCATTCCTGGTGTGATCCAGGCAGGATCTGCTGTAAATCAGCCCTTTATTTTGTTCTCTGGCCTTTGATCTCTGCTGTCCTCAGTGAAGAACATCCCCATGGAGCAGGTTTTCCCTGGGAAGTGTGTGCCCATGAGGATGGGGAAGAGCAGCCCTTGCCTGGAAGGCTCCTGAGCAGGAACCAGGACTCTGCTGCCAGCTTGGGCTGTTTGCTCACAACTCATGGAACCACAGAATCATTTAGGTTGGAAAAGACCTTTGAGATCACCCAGTCCAACCATTAACCAAGGCCCACCCTGCAGATGATTTCCCTTCTCCTCATTCCTTGGATACCTGTCAGGGTGGGTGTGGGAATGTGATCCAGATGATCTGCCCTGGATCCCTGTGCATCTCCCCTTTGCCAGGGGGTTTTGGGGCTCAGGGAGAGGTTGAGCTGTTGCTCAGGCCCCATCTGTGCCCCAGAGAGGGCACTTCCCTGGGCAGGAGTGACTGTGCCTCGTTGTCCTTCACTCGTCCCCAAAAGTAGATTTAATTCCTGGCCCCCTGTTTGCTGTTAACCACTTCCACCAGTGCTCCAAGGCTTTCCAGCCATGGAATTACTGTGTGCTGCTTGTTGCCTTGCTCTGGCTCCTGAGAGGCCACTTGTTTGGGCAATGCCAAATTTCACAGCTGTGCTTGTGTTCCTGCTGGTGCCCCCCCCCTGCCCTGGATCTTGACCAGAGGAAATTGTTATGATAATGTGGAGGGTTAGTTTGGGGGCAAGGTCAGGCAGCCTTAACTCTCTTGGTGTCCACACTGCTGCAAAAAAATTCCTGCTGGCTCCATTTTTATCAGGAGTATCCCGAGACACAGGGCTGGAGTAACTTTTCCTGGGCTTTGGTGGCATTCTGACAAAGCTGTGCTCAGCTGAGTGGATTTTAAATAACACTTCTTTGCTCTCCTCCATGTTTTTGGGCACTGGGAAGGTTCAGGGATGCCATGGATGCTGCACTTTGCCTGCAATACACCTGATGCAGTGCAGTAACCTGCAAACTGTGCTGCTGCCATGCCCTGGGGTGGCACAGGGGGCTGATGGGGGTTCATGTGGGATTGGGAAAATCCCATGGATTAAAGAAATCAAATGAACTCTGTTCCAGTGCCTTTGCAGCCAGCAGGGATGGAGGCTGCAGGGAGCTTGGGATGGGAACTGTACCTCCCTTGCAGGAAAGTGGAAGACTTTTTGGGGTGTTTTCCTTCTTTTTTTTTAATGGGACTTCCCAGTGGGCAGTGTGGGGTTTGTCCTCTCTTCCCAGTGTCAGGTGCATTCCCTCATCCAACTCCTTCCAGTGATTCTTCTGTCCTCTCCCTGGAGTGATGAACTGCCTGGTTTTCTGTACTGGATGAAAAGGGAACTTTGGGGTTGTGTCAGAGTCCTGCTGAGGATTTCTGAGAGGTCCAGGTAATCCTGGAGTGGGGAGGTCTGGTGTTCTGTGGCTCTCACTGGAGGAGCAGGATCCGTAACCGTGAGGGCTGGAGCAGCTGTGGTTGCCAGGGAGATGTGTGAGAGGGGAGTAATTAAAAAATTAAATCCTTCCCCATTATTGACTGCAAAAACCTGCTGGAGAAATGAACTGGTGGCCTACATTTGGGGGAGCTGGAGGAAGTGGGACACGACTTGCAGAGCCATCCGTGCGAGATGTGGCATCAGGGTG